CCCTAAGATGAGAATTACTTTGATATGTTAAAGAACAACAAAGAGTCCATGTGGCTACAGCCAGGCAGAAAACAGAGATGAGATCAGGGAGTTATCAGCAGAAGTCTGGTCATAGGGCTGGGGTATGCCATGTTTGGGTTTTATCCTGAGTGTGACGGGAAGCTACAATAGTGGAATGCTGTAAATTAATTTATATTTTTAAGTTCTTTCTGGCTCCTGTATACAGAACTCATTGTAGAAGGGCAAGAAGAGAAGCAGAAACACAAGTTGGAAGGCTATGATATAATCCTAAACAAGAGGTGGTAGTATTGTAGACTTGGAGGTGGCAGAGAAACTACTGTTAGTTGGATTTGGGGTGTAATTTTGCTAATATGTTGGATATGGAGAATATGGAAAAAAGAAAAGTCATATAAAAAGCCTTAAGGATAAAACTCATTAAGCTGCACAATAATTTGCCTGCCAAAAATATTTTGAAATTATAAGCTTTACGGCTGATGTGTTGGTTAATTGTTGGCTTTCACCACCACATCACCCTTTCATGGGCTCCTCCTCTGTATTGCCAGATGCTAGAAATCTGCAAAGTATATTTCCTAGGCCTCCTTGCAAACAGAGAGGTTAGGTTCTGCCAATGTAAGCCAATGACAGCAGGACATAGAGGAAGCCACGGTTTTTTCTGCTTCTGTTCTGACATAGCCATCAGTGAGCATCTGTGAGCCACACCAACTTTGAGCAGCCATCTATGACCAATCTGGGCAGTTTCAGTGGGACTACAGGCTCCTTGGCTCTGCAGCAACCACAGGAAGGCAAGCTCCTGGCTTCCTGGCCAAGTTACATTGGCTGTATTCTCAACAGTGCAATACTTAGGAGCTCTGGGGAACAGTTTCCCATTTCCTCCAGCCCCAGGGGCAATAGCTACTTCCCATATTTACTAATCTCTAGATGGCACCACCTTAACTCTTTTTATTCCTCCAGCCCTTCCAACACTTTTGTAACCAATTCACTGTATTAAAATCTTTCTGTCAGAAATATCCTAAGTGGCTTGTTTTCCTGAACGTATGCCAACTGATATAGTAAAGAAAGAAGCGTCACTCTCCAGAGTCTACTTTCACATATTGTTGTTCCTCGCAACACTCTTACATATAGACATAGCAAATTCTATTATTCCCTTCATATAAAGCAACAAACTGAAAACTGAAAGTGATTATTAAAATACTTTGAAGATTTGCTGACAAGAAATCTACCAATACACATTTAAACAATTTATTTGTCAAGTGTTCATCTTAACCATAAATTTTCACATTTAAAGTTATAACAAAGAGCCAAGGTATTCTTATGTAAAGTAATAATGCAAGACTTACTGATTTAAAGAAAATACCAGAAATAAGACTATTACAAAAGATAATATATTATGGAGAAAACATTTAACTTTTTATGTTAATTTCAATCAATAGCTTTTATCCCCCCCAAAATTAGTTCTTACTATATTACATTTTTTAAGAAGTTTAAATCCAAATGATCACTTGATTTAAAAACAAATCAAACATACTATATACTGGCATCTAAATCCTCTAGAAGGTAGAAAGAGAATAAGAAGACATTAAGAAAACAAATTGGTGCAAAATATTAGAGATAAAACCATAAAATGCTAAGAAGAGGGGTGCCAGGCTGGCTCAGTCAATTGAGCATGCAACTCTTCAACTTGGGGTTATAAGTTTGAGCCCCATGGTGTGTGTAGAGATTACTTTTTAAAAAACTAAAAAAACCTCTTAGAAGAAAACAAAGGGATAAATCTTTATGATCTGGGATTTGGCGATGGATTTTTGGATATGACCCCAAAAGCAGGAGCAACAAAAAAAATAAACTGAATTTCATCAAAATTAACTTTTGTGCATCAAAGGATATTATCAAGAAACTGAAAAGACAACGTACACAAAATGGGAGAAAATATTTACATATTTATCTGATAAGAATTAATATCCAAAATATACAAAGAATTCAATTTTTAAAATTCCAATTTAAAAACAGGCAAAGGACTCAAATGGCCACAATGGTAAAAATGGCAGAAAATACACAATGGCCAATAAACACATGAAAACATGCTCAACTGTATTAAGCATCGGAGAAGTGCAGATCAAAACCACAGTGAGACACTACTTCACACCTACTAGGACAGCTATGATCAAAAAATGGAAAATAATAAACATTGACAAGGATGTGAAAAACCAGAACACTCACACATTGCTGCTGGAAGTGTAAAATGGTGCAGGCTCTGTGAAAAACAGTTCAGTGTTTCCTTAAGAAGGAAGTAGTATAGAAGTATCGTATGCACCAGTAATTCCACACCTGGATCTATACTCAAAAGAACTGAAACCCAGAAATGAAGCAATACTTGTACATGCTAATTTCAGAACAGCTAAAATTTGAAGTACAATTAAATATCACCAGATAACTTTACCCTTAATTTGACCAAAAAAACCCAAAAAAGTAAGAAAATCAAATAAACTAAGAACCAAAAACTGGCAGATTTTTATAAAGAGTATGTGTTGATAATTTTGAAGCACCAAATAATTATATGACAGTCATATATGTTAAGCTTTTTAAAATTTTGTGGGGCGCCTGGGTGGCTCAGTTGGTTGAGCGTCCGACTTCGGCTCAGGTCATGATCTCAAGGTCTGTGAGTTCAAGCCCCGCGTCAGACTCTGTGCTGACCGCTCAGAGCCTGGAGCCCGTTTCGGATTCTGTGTCTCCCTCTCTCTCTGCCCCTCCCCTGTTCATGCTCTGTCTCTCTCTGTCTCAAAAATAAATAAACATTAAAAAAAATTTTTTTTAAACAAAAAAATTTTTTAAGAAGCACATAACACAAAAATTAACTCAAAATAGATTAAAGACTTGAAAATAAGACCAGAACCCTCTGTATTGCCAGGTGCTAGAATAAAACTCCTAGAAGAAAACACAGGCAGTAACCTCCTTGACATCAGTCCTGGCAATGATTTTTTCGATTTGATACCAAAACAAAGGCAACAAAAGGAAAAATAAACAAGTGGGACTACATCAAACTAAAAAGTCTCTGCACTGCAAAGGAAACCAACAACAAAGTGAAAAAGCAACTACTGAATGGCAGAAAATATTTGCAAATCATATATTTGATAAGGGGTTAATATCAGGAAGGAAGGAAGGACCTCATGTAGCTCAATAGGAAAAAAAATCCGATTAAAAAATGGGCATATGGTCTGAACACACATGTTTCCAAAGAAAACATACAACTGGCTAACAAATACATGAAAAGATGTTCTACACCACTAATCATCAGGGAAATGTAAATCAAAATGCAATGAGACATCACCTCATACCTGTTAGAATGGCTATTATCAAACAGACAAGAAAAAAAATAAAACCCAAAAGGACTAGAAATATATGTTGGCAAGGACACAGAGAAAAGGAAACACTTATACACTGTTGGTGCCAATGCAAATTGGTGCAGCCACTGTGGAAAACAGTATGGAAATTCCTTAAAAAATTAAAATTAGAACTACCATATGATCCAGCAATTCCACTTCTACGTATGATCAGAAAAAAGTGAAAACACTAATTTGAAAAGATATATGCACCTCCATGTTCACTGCAGCATTATTTACAATAGTCAAGATATGGAAACACCCTGAATATCCATCAATGGATGAGTGGATAAAGATGTAATACACATACACACATGCACGCGCACACACACACACACACACACACACACACTGAAATACTATTCATCTATAAAAAATAATGAACTCCTGACATTTGCAACAACACAGATGGATCTTGCAGGCATTATGCTAAGCAAAATAAGTCAGACAGAAAAAGAAAAATAGTGTCCGCACTCAGATGTAAAATTTTCAAAATAAGGGTGTCTGGGTGGCTCAGTCATTTAAGCATCCGACCTTGATTTCAGCTCAGGTCATGATCAAGTAGTGAGATCAAGCCCCACGTCAGGCTCCACAATGAGTGCAGAGCCTGCTAAGGTTTTCTCTCTCTCCCTCTGCCCCTGTCCTGCTCCCACTCTCTCTCTAAAAAAAAAGAAAAGAAACAAGAAAAAAATCTTTGAAAAATAACAACAACAACAAAAAATGAGCTCAAGCATATAGAGAACAGACTGGTGGCTGCCTGAGGCAGGGGTAGCGGGTAAAAGGGTTCAAAGGGTGTAAATTTCTATAAAATATTCAATGAATATGTTGTAGGGAGGTAACAAACAGCATGATGACTACAGTTAATAATACTGTACTGCATATTTGAAAGTAGGTAGGAGAGTGAGTCTTAAAAATTCTCATCACAAGAAAAATAAATTTTAACTATGTACTGGTACACGTGTTAACTGAACTTACTGCAGTAATCATTTTGTAGTATATACAAATACAGAATCGTTACTTGGAATCGCTGTATACATAAAACTAACATAATGTCAATTATATCTCAATAAAAATTTTAAAAAAAGAATGTATAACTCATAAGCTACCATGTTTTCAGTAAAGTTTTACAAAATTTATAAAGGAATTTCTTGACATTCTAAAAGTATCCCTCATTCTTGAAGGCTAAATGCCCTCATCTTAAAGACACATATAAATTGCCCAAAGAATACAGCAGTCTTTAATACTGGCAACTGATAAGACAAAGAGGATATATTTGTAAGTATTTAAAAGAAATAGCTAAATTTAGAGTGATGACTTTTACTTCGTCATTCTTAAAATACTTCCTTAAGAACTCCCAAAGGCACAACTTAAACAAAAAAATAGCTCTTATGGGTATATATTTCAGTGATATTAAGTTCACCTTACTAGAACAAGAAATAAAATCTCTCTCTGTCTCATACACACACACGTTAGATCCACCCAACTAAAAAGCTGACAATTTAAAGTTATTGAATTACAACTTAAGTACTTTTGTAAAATACTGCCACTCAAGGAATATACTAAATATTAACATGGTCATAGTAACACCTACTTGCTGACACTTACTGTGTGAAAATTTATCATTTCTTGAAGACTGTCAGAAAACTTGGTTAAACTTGTCTATGAAAGAAACCAAAAGAAAACCAAGTCATTTAAAAGCCACTAAAATAGGTCACAAAAATGTTACTTCAGCATTTCTGACAGAAAGATCAAGTTACATTGTAAACAATGACATTTACTTGCAAGGGCAATTTCATGGCATTGCCCCATGGGCATTCTCTGCAAAGAGGACAAGTCTACATGTGGTAGTGACATAAAACCCCAGAACAGTCAAAGAATTAATATTGTCATATCAGTAGGAGTATGCTAACAAATAGTAATGGCACATATAAACCTAAAGGTAAAATTGAGTGTATCAAGACTGCACATTTAGACATCCCGGAGTCAAATAATCATGAAAGCACATCCATTACCTAACCAGGTATTATTCCTCCTGGAAGAAATAACATAATACCACAGAGTACAGCAAGGGTCTAAGTTAACCAAGCATAGCGAGCTGACAAGAACTTTCCTATACAGCCCCATACATACAGTTAAATACTATTCTTAAGGTTTAATGCTCTCTGCTTGCCCCTATAAGCTCCTACTAGGGAGCATAATCCTCCTCTGCCTGCTCAGGCCCTCTTAGTAGAGGATTCAGCTCACCTACCAGAAGTAAGCTTACATTCACAATGCAAATCATCCATCAACTTCCAACTATGCTAGAGAACAGAATTATAGAAAATAAGACCAATAGGTGATAGCTTTTCTATTCCACTATTTTACCACTATAGCCACTAATACGTTTAATAAATGAATGCATAATTCTTTAATATCCTGATGCATTTAACATATTAACTAATTTTAATAATACTAACCTCAACTACAGCATCATTACTAGAATATTGTGCCAGGTCTCGAATCCCATTCATGAATTGTTTATTTGCAACACAAAAGGCCTTTCCGGTATCAATCATTGCGATACAAAGTTTCACAAGCTGAAAAAGAAAAACATTACATCAGGTTGAAAATAATTATACAAATTACTTAGTTGAACAAGTGTTAGTAGTAGCTTCATGAGTTAGCCTAGTTTAGATAAATTATGGTTCATCAATAAATCCAAAATAGACCAATTGAAAATTGCTCTTTTCCCCTCTGACTTATAAAGTAAATTCACAGGAGGGTTGTACCAAAACAGTTGACCTTTTAGGACCCAGAAGCTGTGTTGAAACAACAACAAATCATTTTATCAAGTCAAATTCAAGCCCATAAATTAATTCTATAAAAATTTGTCTAGGAAGAACAGGGAACTTGAGGCAGAACAACCAGTATGTTAAAAAATATTTTAAATTAAAAAAAAAAACTCAAAACGTGTGGTATGTTGGAGAAAAGGGGAATAAGCTGACATGTTGAGTTAGTCATGCTGGGCATTTCAGTGTCAATCTATCAAAGCAGATGTCAGAATTGATTAATCAACCATATTTCTCCAATGCCTACTGTCCTAGGCACTGTGCTAGTGTTAAAATTGAGACTTTCTTTCATCTTTCTTTCTCTTTAATTCCTTTCCTCCCTCCCTTTCTTTTTTCCATTCCTTATTTTTCTCCTTTCATTCAAACATAGAACATTTTCTTTAATCAAGCAGTATCTTGGGTCAATACATATATATACATACATATTTTTTTTCTTCTTTTTAAAGTGGAGAAGGAAAGGATACTGAGGGGGTAATGCAGGGGTGGGAGGGTACCACGAAGAGCCCCCCCCCCAAAAAAAAACCTTTAAAAAACATCTAAAGGATCTCAGGAGTATATTTTAAAACTGTTATACTCTAGGGCCTAGAAGAACAGAAATTAAAGATATAATCTCTCACAACACAGATGAACATAAGGGAAGGGAAACATAAATAATATAAAAACAGGGAGGACAAAACATAAGGGACTCTTAAAAATGGAGAACAAACAAAGGGTTAGTGGAGGGGTTGTGGGAGGGGGGATGGGCTAAATGGGTAAGGGGCATTAAGTCTCTGTTGCACTATATGCTAACTAACTTGCATGTAAATTTAAAAAATAAATTAAGTTAAAAATTTTTTAAAAAAACATAATCTCTCTCTCAGAAGCTCTAATTCTAACCAACAGACAAGCAGATACATTCCCTACAGCAAAAACACGACTGCTATGCATGACAAAACCAAGCATGATGGAACAAAGGAAGAACATCTAACCAGAACTATGGGCTTAAATAAGGGAAGGATTCCTGGAAAAGGTAACACTTGAGAAAAGCCCTGAAGACCAACAGGAATTAGCCAATCAGACAAAAGTAATGGGAAGACACTACTCTAGGAAGAACATGTGCTAAGGCCCAGAAGCTCAGTGGGCAGGACAGAGGCAGTGTGCAGTGTGAAAATGTGTGGCATTAAAAGTATGATGTTAGAAATATATACAAGGACCAGATCAGGACAAGCCTTGTGTACAATGCTAAGATGTTCACATTTTGTGTGAAAGGAAAAGTGAAGACAATGATTGGTGAGTTCTCCTGAGTTCCATCTTAGAATGATGATCTAAAAGGAGAAAAAATAAAAACATGGAAAGAAATAATAAAGATAAGGAGATTGGACCAAAAACCATGAGCGTCTAAATTAAGGCAGTAAGCAGGGAGAGAAAAGGGGAGACAAATTCAAGAACTACAGTCAAGTATTCTGGTACACTTATGCAGACGACTGTGTCCCACCAAGGGGAAAGTTGGAGCTGAAATTCAGCCTGAGCTTGGCCTGCCATGGACTACTAATTCACACATTAAACTGGCCAGCAAAAAACTTGTTTTCACTGTGTTGAGCCTGTGAGATAAGCCAAATGGAAAGCTGATCAAACACAAATGAGGGGCGCCTGGGTGGCGCAGTCGGTTAAGCGTCCGACTTCAGCCAGGTCACGATCTCGCGGTCCGGGAGTTCGAGCCCCGCGTCAGGCTCTGGGCTGATGGCTCAGAGCCTGGAGCCTGTTTCCGATTCTGTGTCTCCCTCTCTCTCTGCCCTTCCCCCGTTCATGCTCTGTCTCTCTCTGTCCCAAAAATAAATAAACGTTGAAAAAAAAATTAAAAAAAAAAAACCACAAATGAACACAGATGTTTGCAACTCAAAAAAGACTGTAGATATAGATACAGAAGACATCAAAAAATATACAGTATCAGTGCTACAGTGTTATGTCCTAGACAGAGAGCAGAGGACAGATGCAGAGTGAAAATTACACAAAGGAGACTAAAGAGGAAGAGGGAAAGTAGGAGAAAAAGCAAGAGAATAATTTCACCAAAGTAGAAAAAAGAACAATGTATCAAAAGATGGATGATGAATGGTTCGAAAACTCATAAAAGTCAAGTTTTAAAAAGACTTAAAAAACGTCTATTGAGTTTGGTGGCAAAGTCACCAGCATCCCCGGCAAGAATGTTTTAAGAGAAACTGACTCGGGGGCTGTTAGTCAGGTTACAGTAAATTATGAACTATAGATGAAGACGACAAAATGATAGCTCAATATATGCATATAAATTCTACAGGATACCCACAAGAACATCCTATACTAAAATAGGATTCTGTGATAAAACAAATCTGGCAAACTCTAGGGGTTTTAATTTTTTTTTTAACGTTTATTTATTTTTGAGAGACAGATCATGAGCAGGAGAAGGACAGAGAGAGGGGGGACACAGAATCAGAGGCAGTCTCCAGGCCCGAGCTGTCAGCACAGAGCCTGACGCGGGGCTCGAACCCGCAAACTGCAAGATCATGACCTGAGCTGAAGTCGGACGCTCAACCAACTAAGCCACCCAGGCACCCCTGGCAAACTCTAGGTTTAAAAAGCTAAACAGATTTCTTTATTGCTGAACTTTAAAGAGCTTCTGATATATATTCATGCGTACTGTGAATCCTAGAAGAGTATAATATGTAACATTTCTCAAAAATATTTGATGTGGAATTCTCTTCACAGGAAGCATTCTCATAGAACATAGAAACATCTCATAAAACTCACTATGAGAAATGCTGGCAGAAATTAGTCTTTTAAACAGTTTGAAAATTACAAACAAACAAATAGAAAATTACAAAAAATAGAGATGCCTGGCTGGCTCAGTCAGTTAAGTGTCCAACTCTTGATTTGGGTTCAGGTCATGATCTCACAGTTTGTGAGATTAAGCCCCTCATCAGACTCCACACTGACAGTTTGGGATTCTCTCTATCCTCTCTTTCTGCTCCTCCCTCTGCTCATGCAAATGTGCGTGTGGTCTCTCTCTCAAACACACACAAAAAAGAAAATTACAAAAAATAATGTCTTAAAAACCAGAAAAACTAATTCTAAAATTCATATGGAGTAAACATTAACATGCAAGAAGACAGAAAAAAATCGAAAAGAATAATGAGATGGGGACATAAGCCTTATATTTTTTTAAATTTTTTTAACGTTTATTCATTTTTTGAGAGACAAAGAGAACACAAGAGGGGCAGAGAGAGAGGCAGACACAGAATCTGAAGCAGGCTCCAGGCTCTGAGCTGTCATCATAGAGCCCAATGTGGGGCTTGAACTCACAAACTGGGAGATCATGACCTGAGCCCACGAGACACTTAATCAACTGAGTCACCCAGGCACCCCAGCCTTATATATTATTAAAATGTATTATAGAAGTGCAGCAGTTAAAAGTCTGGTAATGGATGTGAATAGACAAACTGTTCAATGGAATAGAACAGAGTCAAGAAACAGATACAAATATGCAGTACTTCCAGCTGGGCGGGGGGGGGGGGGAGGGTTGGGGAGGGGGAGCTTAGAGATCCAATAAATGACATACGGATCCTAGATAGCCATCTAATGGGGAACAAAGAAAACAAAAAACCAAGTTGAATTCCAAATGCTCAAATTAATTTCAGATGGAATAAAGATTTAAGCATGAAACATTAAATGAGAAAACTAAGAGAAAACAGGAGGTAATATTTTTTATAATCTCAAAGTAACAGAAGTCTTTTTGAAAAAGATGCAAACCTCAAAAATCATAGCAGAAACATCAATTCAACTACAAAAACAAAACATTTTTATAAGAAAAAAACAATAAACTTAGTCAAAAGGAAAACAATAAAATGGGAAAACAATATTAGTAACAATCACAAGGGACTAATTTCCCTGCTATAAGAAAGGGTATACAATCATCTTTGAAAAGCAAACCAGCCACTAGAAAAAAAGAAAAAGGTCGACAGATATGTACAGATAATTCCCAGAAAATTCAAATACATCCTATACCCATAAAAAAAAAATCAATCTCACTCATAATTTTTTTAAAAATTGCAAAATACTGTTTTTTACAGAACAGCAAAGATCAAAAGTTTGGTAATTTGCTATTGTAGAGTGGGTAGGTATGGGGAAACAGGCACTCTCACACATTTTGGGGGGAGGGGATGTAAATTGGTACAATTTCCATATAAGGCAGTTTAGCAAGAGCTATCAAATTTTTAAACAATTACCCTCTAACCTAGCAATTTCACTTTTAGAAAAGTATTATACACATACACTTTCACATAAGCTACATGACACACATGTGAAGTCATTCACTGCAGCCACAGTAAAATACAGGCAACAATCTAAGTATCCATCAGTAGGCAACTGGATAAATTATGATATATCCATTAATTAAATACAATTCACACTTTACTTAAGATCTTTTATATGGTCAGAAAACTTCTGGAAGGACACACAAGTGTTCTCTAGGAAAGAGATTAGAGGAGGACTAATTTCTCACTGATTTCTCTACCTTTGAGTTTTGTGTCACACAGGTGGTATTCAACAAATTAAATACTTATTCAACAAATTAAATAGTTAAAAAATAATTAAATTAAAATGTTCTATAAAAACTGAAAGAGAGGGGGCGCCTGGGTGGCGCAGTCGGTTAAGCGTCCGACTTCAGCCAGGTCACGATCTCGCGGTCTGTGAGTTCGAGCCCCGCGTCGGGCTCTGGGCTGACGGCTCGGAGCCTGGAGCCTGTTTCCGATTCTGTGTCTCCCTCTCTCTCTGCCCCTCCCCCATTCATGCTCTGTCTCTCTCTGTCCCAAAAATAAATAAACGTTGAAAAAAAAATTTTTTTTTTTAAAAAAAACTGAAAGAGAGGTTGGTAGTATAACAATACGGATAAAAACACAAGGGTTCTGGGTTCAGTCAGCTTAGGTTCAAATTCTACTGCTGTCATTAACCATCTAAATGATCCTGAATGACCTTAACCTCTGCAAACTTAAGTTTCTTCTGTCTGATATGATCACAATGGTACCAAACCATATCAGGTTACTATAAAAGAGTTAAGATGGTGTGAGAAGTAACTGAAATGATTCTTTTTCAGAATTACCAAATAGGTACGCCTGGGTGGTTCAGCCAGTTAAGCATCTGACTTCGGCTCAGGTCATGATCTCAAAGGTTTGTGAGTTCGAGCCCCATGTCAAGCTCTGTGCTGACAGGTCAGAGCCTGGAGTCTGCTTTGGATTCTGTGTCTCCCTCTCTCTCTGCCCCTCCCCTACTCGTGCTCTGTCTCTCTCTCTCAAAAATAAACATTAAAAAAATTTTTTTAAAGAAATACCAAATAAAAACTATGCTTCTAGTTAACAATAGGTTTACAACCTATTGGAAACATGTACCAACTCCACACACAATGGAGTCCCAAACCCTGAGACACTTCACTTCCTGGTTCTTCCAGGCTTTGCAATGAGCATGCACCAAAGAACTGAAGTCTCTGAGTCACCTCAAGGAATGTGCATTTGTTCCAATCAGACAACTTTTTGCCTTACATGGGCATAGGTGACTTCCAGGTAAGGCTGTAACCTCTGTAGTACTCAGCCAAAGAGCAATCAGGGGAGGGACTTGTACCCTAGGAGATAAATTGCCTGCTGCAACTGCCCCAAGTGTGCCTATCTATCAGACACACTTGCAAGAACATCGATTACAACCTCTCTTCACTTGCTCCGAGTCTCCGCATCCTCCTTTGAATGGGTCAGTGGGCTTGTTTCTCACAACAGTGCACATAAAGCTCTTAGAACATTACTGGCACATGGTAATTACTAAACATTTACGTTTCCTTGTCAGAGTTTTCTTGTTTGCTTTTGGTTTGTGTGTCTTGTTTTGTTTTGTTTTTGTTCAAGGGAAACTTGAACACTTTCTACTTAAAATAAAGAGGTGATAGAGGAAAAAAAAAGTGGCTAAAGCAAATTCCTATGAAATTAAGAGTTTGGAATTACATAGGAAAAGGAATACTTTTATCATTCAAATGGGAGGCAAAGTGGGAAAAGAGAAGAACAGATTCTAAATTTCTAGATTAGAGGCACCTGGGTGACTCACTCGGTTAAGTGTCCGACTTCAGCTCAGATCATGATCTCACGGTTCATGGGTTTGAGCCCTGCTGGGGCTCTGTGCTGACAGCTCAGGGCCTAGAGCCTGCTTCAGATCCTGTGATTCCCCTCTCTCTGCCCCTCCCCCGCTCACACTGTGTCTCTCTCTGTCTCCCAAAAATGAATGAAGACTTTAAAATTTTTTTTAAATAAATAAATTTCTAGATTAGGAGCAAGAAATAAATGTGTTCCCACCAAAAAGAAGACAGAGTCAAAGTCATCTACTAAGAAAGAACACAGTGATAAATGTTGAGAAAACAGGGAAGTAAAATAGCTGTTAAAGATAATAAGATAACATGAATGAGTCTTGGAAAATTTGCTTTGCATCAAGAATTCCAGGAATGTGTAGCTCCACCAGTTGGTTTCGCGAAATAGTTGTGTAACTTCTCCTGTAGGGCTTTATAGCGCAGATATGACACAGAGAATATAAATTGTTAGACTAATATAGTAAGAATTCTGTAGAGTAGGTGTTATGGAAGGATAATGAACGCCTCCAGAAGAAAAATAACGACGGAATAAAATTAAGAACAGACTGAAAGTGTTCATAGCAGTATTATTCATATTAGCTAAAAAATGGAAACAACCCAAATGTCCATCAAATAATGAATGAATAAACAAAATGTGGTATACCCATACAAAGGCATAGTATTCAGTCATAAAAAGGGCACCTGGGTGGCTCAGTCGGTTGAGTGTCCGACTTTGGCTCAGGTCAGGATCTCACAGTTTGTGAGTTCAAGCCCCGCGTTGGGCTCTGTGCTGACAGCTCAGAGCCTGGAGCCTGTTTCAGATTCTGTGTCTCCCTCTCTCTGCCCCTTCCCCGCTCATGTTCTGTCTCTCAAAAATGAATAAACGTTAAAAAAAAATTAAAAGAAAAAAAAAAAAAAGAAATACTGCAACAGGTTACAACCTGGGCAGATGAACCTTAAAAACACATGGTAAGTGAAAAGATGCCAGTCACAAAAGGCCAAATTATGATTCCACTTATATGAAATGTTCAAAATACGCAAATCCATAGCGACAGAATATAGATTAGTGGCTTCCAGAGGATGTACGGAGAGGAAAACTGGGAGTGACTGCTAACAGGCACAGGATTTCTCTCTAGGGTAATGGAAATGCTCCGGAGTTAGACACTGGTGAGGGTAGCACAATACTGTGAATACACTGAAAACACTGAATTGTACACTTTAAAAGATGAATTTTATGTTAAGTGAATTTTATCTCCAAAAATTACCCCCCCCCCAAATGCACTGAAAGGGCAGTAAGTTTAAAAGGGGTCTAGAATATCAGAAGTTTATAACCTGAAAGACGAGAGGGCTGGCTAAGCTTGAAGAACAGAAGCAGGAGTGAAATGAGAACTGGAAGGACTGGAGACTCCAGTAAGAAAGTAAGAGATCAGCATTCCAGATTTCTGAGATGAGAACTCTGAAAGGTAAGGCATAGCTATGGCCATGAAAACAGGTATCGGAATTAGAATAGAGGTCACTATCACAGGAGCTGGAGAGACTATGGAATTGTCATACTGCTGAACCATACTTACACTGCACCCACTGAGGAAGAAGGACTGACTTGATACTTTGCCTTAGCAGAGGACCCTGATGACAGGTATAAATGAATAATCTAAGTCTACAAAGAGGGAAGATTTTACTAAGTGATAAGTATGTCATAGGTGCTTTTCCAAATGATGAGAATATAAACAAGTTATTTGCTGACTGTCCTGGAGTAAGTAACAGCCTAAGTCTCATTTTTTTTCATGTGCAAATTGGGTATAATGCTAACTGTGCAACATTGTTGTGACAGTTGGAGATACAAGTAAAATTTAGCACTTGATACACAGTAAATGCACATCAAATGAGGGTTTTTTTAATCCTTCAAAGATAATCTGTCTTCAAGAAGCTAATGATTTGTTGAAGAGATACCATCATTAACATTTATTTAGAATTTACCATGTGCTAAGAATCATATTAAGCATTTAACATATATTAAAACATTTTACCTATATAACCTTACTAATAACTCTATGAGACAGATACTCCAATTTTATCCACTTTGGAGATGAAGAAACTGAGGCCTAGTAAGGTTGAGGAACTTGCCCAAGGTCATATAGCTTAGTAAGTGGTAGAGCCAGATTCAAACGCAGGCAGCCTTACTCCAAGCTTTGTGTTCTTAACTATTAAACCATGCTACAATCCAAAGACTACGATAATATTATAATAATTTCAATGGAAATGTGTGAAAGAAAGAATGCAATACAAGAAAAAGAAACTAAGTTTGGTAGTACTTAAACTGTAATTTAAAAAGTATCTGCTTGGGGTTCCTGGGTGGCTCAGTCGGTTAAGCATCCGACTTTGGCTCAGGTCATGATCTCGTGGTCTGTGGGTTTGAGCCCTGTGTCAGGTTCTGCTGACAGCTCAGAGCCTGGAGCTGCTTCAGATTCTGTTTCTCCCTCTCTCTCTGCCCCTCCCCTGCTCATTCATATTCTCTCTCTCTCTCTCTCTCTCTCTCTCTCTCTCTCTCTCCCTCTCTCTCAAAAACAAATAGACATTAACAAATTTTTAAATAAAATAAACAATAAAAAGTATCTGCTTAACAAAAAGGGAGCAAGCATTCCAGTAAAAAGATGCAAGAGATACAGAGATTACATCTAGATGGCCACTGCGATACTCCACAGTTCTGTCAATGCCAGAATACCTGGCAAAATGGATAAATAATTGGACCCAGCAGAACAATGCCACTCGTGAAGCATTAGTTTCCACAAGGAGTATTAACTATTGGTAGCATATATTACAAACAAAATAAATATAAGCTAAGTCATCAAGCTAGTTTAACCTGTTGATGGCATGATTTACAATGATATTACAGGTGGAACTTGCCCTGCACAAAGTTATGAAATCACTGAACTAATCTTGGGCAACCCCTCCCCTCCACAAGTCGTTCAATGCCACCACCTTCAATAACACCATTTCTTGCTCCTCTCAGGTTCTCTTCTCTATGCTAATGCCTCAAAATTCTAAAGTAAAATGATAGATAATAGCTTAAGAATTTGGGAGAAGTACGTTTTACAAGAAATCAAGATCTTAAGCTAGAGAAATATAAAAGTAACTATAGAACGTCTATTCAGGTGAAAGATAATAGTTTTTAAAATGTCAAAATTTCTATGATGCTCTTATTAGCCCTTTGGGTAATGAATACTCTAGAAAGGGCTTAGAGACCTTAGTACTAATTGCCAATACTTTGAAAACTTGTTTTAAATTTGAATCTTTTTGTTTTAAGGTTCTACCAGTCTCTCAACCCCAACCAAATTTGATATAAAGGCAGGAGAGAGCTGCTCATAAAAGCAAAATCAGTAACAAAAATGCATCTACTCTGGGATTCTTTACAAAGCCTCGCCTTTCTACATACTCTTTCATAAATCTACCAGAAAATCAAGACTACATCTTTTGTTGCCTACCCGAAAGGTTTGAAACTTTGTTTCAGAGAGTGCTTAAAATACATGTAATACCTCTGGGTAAAATAACAATAATAATCCCATACATATAATTTTAAAGAGAAAATAAAATTTTTGAAAATATCCTCACCAAGAATTGTAACAGTAATTTTTTAAAAAAACACTTGCCTAGACACTTGTGTTCCTTAAAATAAATATCCAAGTGGCATGGGCTATCCCAACACAGACCCAGAAGTACAGTGGTGCACAAAAAGAGCACTGAACAAAAACAGCACTAAACATGTGGGTGCATGTGTCCCTTCGAAACAGCACACCTGTAGCCCGTGGATAAATGCTTAGTAGTGCAAATGCCGGCCTTTAAGAGACAAAAGAGATGAACATGAGGGAAGGGAAACAAAAATGATATAAAAACAGGGAGGGGGACAAAACAGAAGAGACTCATAAACATGGAGAACAAACTGAGGGTTACTGGAAGGGTTGTGGGAGGGGGCATGAGCTAAATGGGTACGGGGCACTGAGGAATCTAGTCCTGAAATCATTGTTGCACTATATGCTAACTAATTTGGATGTAAATTTTAAAAAGTAGGGGCACCTGGGTGGCGCAGTCGGTTAAGCGTCCGACTTCAGCCAGGTCACGATCTCGCGGTCCGTGAGTTCGTGCCCCGCGTCGGGCTCTGGGCTGATGGCTCGGAGCCTGGAGCCTGTTTCCGATTCTGTGTCTCCCTCTCTCTCTGCCCCTCCCCCGTTCATGCTCTGTCTCTCTCTGTCCCAAAAATAAATAAAAAACATTGAAAAAAAATAATAAAAAAATAAAAAGTAAAAATATTTAAAAGAAAAAAAAAAAAAGCAGTGAACTAAGAATAAAAACATATGAATCCTAACCCTGGTTCTGCCTCTTCTAACTCTGATTTGAAACAAGTCCCCTTCACTTTCTGGGCTTTGGTATCCTCATCTATAAAATAAGAATAGTGGCACTTGTCTTACCTCACAGAATTATTGTAAAAATCAAAAAACATATTGGGGCACCTGGGTGGCTCTGGTTAAGCATCAGACTCGGGCTCACAGTTCATGAGTTCAAGCCCTACGTCAGGCTCTGCTGACAGCTCAGAGCCTGGAGCCTGCTTGGGATTCTGTGTCTCCCTCTCTCTCTCTGCCCCTCTCCCACTCGTGCTCTCTCTCTCAAAAATAAATAAATAAGCATTAAAAAAATAAATATACTGCATACCAAAATGTTTTGAAAACTATAGAGTAGTACACAAAAATAAGCTATTAGTAAACATTTTCTAAACTTTTGGTTTTAAATACGTAACTAATACTATTACTTTATATGGTTTCTATACTGTTTACATTATATACATACATTTCATGATTTCAAAACATTGGAAAACCTTTAGTTTAACTAGTATGTGTTTTATATCCTTGCTATAAAAGTGCAGTCCATGGGACAACAACAGCATTGGCATCACCTGGAATCTCATTAGAAACACAGAATCTCAGATACCCCAGACTTACTGAATCAGGATCTGTATTTTTACAAGATCCCCAGGTAATCCCTATGCACCGTGAAGTTTGAGAAGCACTGCTTTATGTAGTAATACAATTTATAATAACAAACAAGTAGGAAGTTATTTTCAGAAAAAGTATTTCGAGTATGTGCATCTGATTTAACTCTATAAATTTTAAGAGATTATTTCACTAAACAATGGTTACTTGAAATCAGATGCCATGTCTTACTCATTCTCATATTGCTGCCTGCTATATAGCAATGTTGCTTGGGTAGAGACAAAAAAGATTATCAATAATTAATACAGAAGATAGAAATCAATATACATTTTACCCTTACATAGAATATAACCATTTAATATCAATTATTAAATATACACTAAATATTTATGGCATTAGCTTTAAAAATGGAATCAATATTTTAAATTTTATTTATGTTTAATGTATCCAAACCCACATTTATAAACAAGAATGGTCAGGCTATGTATGAAAACCATTAAGCATCAAAAAGATACATGCAATCTTTTTGATGGAAAAGAAGAAAACAAAGTTCCAACAATATAAAGGATATCTAGTTAGCTTTGCAGTCAGCTACTGGTCAAAGTCTTGCTCTGGCACTCAGATTTTCAGCAAGCTATTTGATGTCTATAGC